CATGTTGCGGAGACAAAATTTCGACCTTAGAAACGGGCGTGTCAAACGAGAAAAACTTACGCTCAATATGTCCTCACTTGATATCCTCGCAACATATCCCTTAGTGTGTACCGACTTTTAATTATACCACCACGACACTGATTTCAATCACGTGAATGGTGAAGCCACGTAGTTCTCCTAAAAAAGACAAATCGATTAGACCAATCGATTAATTCGTCGTAAAACGCGTTGTCCAACAAATACAAATATCATTTTAAATAATAACTTCAGCAACCGTTTAGAGAACTACCTTTCAGCTTTCCTACCGTGACGATGAATACTTATGTTATTTGTGAAAATATTGAAGGGCCGCAGCCGGGATAAAACATGGTAAAACTTTGAAAACGATCTCTGGCTAAAACGATTAAAAAGTTACAAGCTTTCGACTGCCTGAACTACAGCGTTCGACGGGTAAAATGTGAATGACAAAAAGCGAACACAAGGGGAAAAAATGAATACAAATGCGTGAATTATCGAAACAGTAAAAATGCAAATAATTGTGAATGTTTTTTTWAAAAGAATATTATATTGTCCAGCCAGGTAGCGCATATYAATTGTTGTCCACATTGAGAGTCAGTTTGGTATGCCACGCTTCCAGTGTCTTTTTCGTTCTAAAGCCACCTTTATTAGTGATAGAAGCGTTTTCAACGTCAATAGCGTAATCATGTGACCAGGCATGATTTTCAATCCTTCAGCCTTTGACTGCTGTTTTCACATTTCTTAAACGTTCTCTTTTTTACTAATGTTATTGTCCTATTGAGTGTATCTAACGAGTGTATCTAACGAGTGGAGAGTTCCTTTGTTTGGCCATCTAAACTTTGCTCTACGTGCGAACTAATACTGATTTTCAAACTATAAAAACAGAAAAGAAAATTTAATTTTAGCTTCCCAGACTTTGTTGGTCGTGACACAAATGACACAAATTAAATAAGACAACAAATAATATTTTGCTTTTCAGAGTTACCACATTTCATTACAAAGCCC